GTGGCTCCAGGCGGGCAAGGCGAAGCCCGGCACGATGCAGCTCGCCAGCGCGAAGTGGTTCGGGCACTTCTGGGCGGCCCCCGCCGCCGCCGCCCCGGACCGCGCCGTCGGCGGCGGGCGGCGCCGCGCCGCGCGGCGGGCCCGAAGCGCAGAGCCCTCTCCTCGCCTACTCCGCGCGCCGGCCGAGAGGCAGCGGCGACTCTCCCTGGCTCGCGGGTCGTGCCTCCGGTGGGCCTCTCCTGGAGGCTTCCTCGTCGCCCCCGCTGGATCCGCCCCGACGTGCGGGCCAGGACGGACCCCCGCGAGCCGACCTGGGCTGGGCGGGGGAGCCGCCGTGGTCTCGGCTGGCCCTCCCCCGATCAGGCCACACTCCGGCTTCGAGGAGGAGGGCCAGCAGGAGAAACATGAGAAGGAGGGTGAGGAGAGGGAGGAGGAGGAGGAGGAGGAGGAGGAGGAGGAGGAGGAGGAGTAGGAGTAGGAGTAGGAGTAGGAGTAGGAGTAGGAGTAGGAGGAGGAGGAGGAGGAGGAGGAGGAGCAGCAGTAGGGACGAGCTTATTTTTCCCCGCTGAGAGAAAGATTGGGAGGGGGAGAGCAAAACTAAAAAGCCTTCGGGGTTACGCTCCCTGTTCCAGGGCTGGTCGACGGAGAGAGCACCGTTGGGAAGCGGCCCAGGTGGCTTTCAAAAAACGGATCCCGGGAGGGGGTTTGCGCTTGTCCCTTCAGTCGCGCCCCGCTGAGGACTTCCTATTGACGCTCCGACCGTCCCAGACAGGCGCCTCTCCTCATCCTCGTCCTCCCCTTCCCCGTGGAGGAAGGCACAGTAACTACGAGTATAGATAGCAATGCGAATATAACTATATTGTAGATGCCTGTGGCCTGTGCCGCCGATCTGGGAAGCTCCAGAACGCTCTGTGCGAGCTCGTCGTCCTGTTTAGTAGCTTGTGAGTTTCACCTCGAGGAGTCAGGAAGGAGGATGAGGGAGGAGGAAGAGGGAGGAGGAGGAGGAGGAGGAGGAAGAGGAGGAGGAGGAGGAGGAGGAGGAGGAGGAGGAGCAGGAGGAGGAGGGGAAAAGTAGTAGAAGGAGGAGGAGGAGGAGGAGAAGGAGGAGGGGGAGGAGGGTCTTGGCAGTCGCATCAGTCAGTGTGGTGTGATGAATGTAATGATTGCGTCGCGTCCGTCCGTCGAGCTTGATAGCCGGCTAGTCCCCTCACGGGTGCTGGCTCGTTTGTGGGTCGTTGGGCTTGGTTGCCCCGGCCCCGTCGGCCCCCGGCCCTGGCCCCGGCCCTCGGCGCTGGCTCGGTCCCCGTTCGGGCCCTGGCCCCGCGGAGCCGGCCCCAACCCCGACCCCGGCCTTGCCCCTGGCCGTGGCCCCGGCCCTGGCTCCGGCCCCGGCCCCAGCCCGAGTTCTGGCCCCTGCCCCCGCCCTGGCCCCGCCCCCGGGCCCCGGCCAAGGAAAACCTTAAATGTGGATCTTCCCACCCCTCTCTATTTCCTGTGGCAGAGCCACCCTCCTGGCATCCCCCTCCGCAGAGTTGAAGTTAAGGCTGTAGCCTTTTGATGTACAAAAAGACTCACACGCTGGATAAGCGCTAGGCGGACATGCACACACGAACACACATACGTAAACACACAGCCTATACATATAAGTATACTTATATAAACACATGTGCATATGCACTCGCAGATCCACGCACATATACATGCATAGTCACATACGCGATGATATGTGCGAATATATATATGGTCACAACTACATATGAATAATATGTGTACGTACAAGAGTACATCTACAGACATACATATACATATCTGCGTGAGTATATACGTATATCATACACATAACTGTAAATGTGTACATGCATATAAGCATAGATATAAATATACGTGTGCATACTCATAGACGTACACATAACCGCAGTACGTCTTTAGTTGTGGGTCCATATCCCTTCCTGTTTCTCTCGGAAAGCAAAATCGCCTCTTCTCCTTCTGCTCCCCCTCCTCATCCTCCTCCTCCTCCTCCTCCTCCTCCCCATCCTCGTCGTCGTCGTCGCGGCGGAGATTAGTTCCCCTCTAGTGTTGGGCGGGCTGGATCATGTTGGGTTTCGTCCTCCCAGGGAAAAATCGATTGTGGGCCACCCTACACGCGAGAGGATGTATAAGCATCTTCTCATGAGGATGGCAATAGAAATCAGTGGTTGCGGTTGTAGTTGTGATAATGGTCGTGGTTGAAATTGTCATTGTAGCAGCGATTGTAGTCGTAATCGTCGTCGCGGTTGAAGTCGTAATCGTAGTCGGAATCTTAGTCGTAGTCGTAAGTGTCGTCGTCGTCGCGGCGGAGATTCGTTCCCCTCTATTGTTGGGCGGGCTGGATAATGTCGAGGGGTTCTTTCTCCCAGGGACGAATGACCCCTGGGCGACCTACACACTGCACGGCAGAAGAATTTTGAGCACTTTTGTAAGAGGATTGCACTATAGATCGACACATTATTTTGCCGAGTCGTCTCGTCGTCGTCGTCGTTGTTGCGCGGCGGGTGCCGTGGGGAAATAATTATGTTCCGTTATTGGTGGGCCCCCAGTCCGTCAATAAGGGCGTCGAAAAGAGGATTCGTTTCCATGATTGGGAGGGTCTAAAGACCTATCGCACTCATACATATACTGATGCATAACCATATACATAGACATATACACATACCTATACACATACAAATACCTCCACGTGTACATGCACGTATACATACATCGCAACACCTGTGTATAGACACACACCTCGATACACATATTTATATAAATATACAGCTGTAAATGTATGTGAATGTATATGTATGCGACGAACGGCCGACATGCACAGTCTCTCGGACAAGTTTGGCACCTTTTGGCGCGGGGGGCCTTTACCTGGCCTCGGAAGCGTCGAAAAACGACTCACGATGCAGAACCGGTCCCGGGAAAGGGGTCCAGACCCCTGGGGGTCGACGTCATGAAAAAATCATGACGTCGGGGGTTTGGGTACCGAGAGCGTGTTGCCGACCTATATCAGCGATGTGTCCCCGATGCCAGGTCGATGTCCCACCCCCCGCCCGAGCTTTTCCCCTTCCCCGCCCTCTTTGCAGGACTCCAGGCCCTCCAGATGGGGTCGGAACAGATGAGGTCGAAGGATCGCGCCGCATCGCCGATGCATCGGTGATGCGGCTCGATGCGGAGCCCGATTTGCTTCGCGTCGACGTCGCTGATGCATCGGCGACGTCGGCAATGCGTCGCCGTTGCATCGCCGATGCATCGCCGATGCGTCGACGATGCATCGCCGATGTATTGGCGATGCGGCGCGATCCTCCGAGCCCATCTACTCCGACGTGCCGGTCGGCATCGCGTTGAGCTTCAGGGAAAGGTCCGACATCCTACTCGAGGCTGGGTGTGGCGTACGACCCTCGCGAGCGCCTACCTGCCGAGCTGGTGCCGGTTGCTGGTGTCCCTGGCTGGCCCCCATGCGCCGGGCCCCCATCTAGGAGGCCTCTAGGGACGTGGCGGCACTCGGCCAGCCTCGCGCGGTCCGTCTGCCGTGCTTTCACCCCTGCCCCCACGGGACTCCGTCGCCCGCTTTCGAGAGCCGCCCCCCCTTCCCCCCACGGGCGAGGGGATGGGGCGCCACGCATTCGTCGGGGAGGAGGGAGGGGGGGGGGGGGGGGAGGAGTAGGAGTAGGAGGAGGAGGAGGAGGAGGAGGAGGAGGAGGAGAGCAGCAGCAGGAGGAGGGATGAGGAGGGAGGACGACGAGGAGGAGGAGGACGACGAGGAGGACGAGGAGGAGTAGGAGGACGACGAGGAGGACGAGGAGGAGGAGGAGGAGGAGGACGAGGAGGAGGAGGAGGACGAGGAGGAGGAGGAGGACGAGGAGGAGGAGGAGGAGGAGGAGGAGAAGAGGTGTCCGCGTCCTTCCCTCCCCCCCTGTCTTCGGCGGCGCGTCCAGCGGGGAAGTCGGAGGGGGCGGGCTTCCGCAGAAGGCTCGGGAGGCCTCGGGCCTTCTCCGGAGCGCTCCATGGGCCCTCTCCGCGGCCCCGCCGCCTGCTGAAGAGGGCCGCCCTCCTCTCGCTGCCCTGGCGCGGCGCGCCGCCGCCCCCTGCTCTGTCGGACTCGGCCGCTCCTTTCCTGGAGCTGGCCAGCATGGTGGGATAGCGAGCTGCCGCATCTGATCAGCAGTGAAACACCGTGTGGAAGCTCAATCGAAGAGCATCGTGAAGCATTCGAATCCTCTGAGGGTCCTCCAGAGGTCGCAGCAAAGCATCAGAGAGCTTCCGAAGCCATGCGAAAGCTACTGCGTGCTCCAAGTGCTGTTGATGGACTTGCGGCTTCGTTCCAACCTCACTCTGCCCACCGTTCTTGTCGAAACAGCCCGAGACGAATCAACGCTTTCGAGCAATCCGAGAGCCTCAGTATGCATCGCAAAGTTCTGGGAACGTGGTGATAAAAATAAATTCGGATATGTGGGCCGTGCCTGAGACGCGTCGGAAATCCTTTCGAAAAACGCCACCCGTCTGACCAGAAGCAGTGCCTCACTTCGGGGAATGTCTGGGGGCCTCCAGGGGCCGCTGGCGCCGGCAAGGTGGAGGGCCTCGACCGCAAGGTCGACGGCACCCTGTGCGACGTGGAGGACTCGAAGCGGCCCGCGGAAGCAGAGGAGGACTTCATGTCCACGCTCACCGCAGGCATGCAGGAGCCGACGATTCGGAGAGAGGTGAGGGCATCAGAGCGAACAGTGTTGATTCGAACTGTTTCGGCTTCGCTTGGTTAGCGAGAGCACACGCTCTTGGAGACCGCGTTGACGTCACGGAGCCTGGTTGCAGGCTACACGTCAGACCTATGTTGTGCTGGATGTTGTTCGGCTACCTTTCGGATTAGTGTTCGTTGTGGGCTCGACACAGGGCCTGAAAACGTATCCAATGAATCGTGTTTCTGCGGTTCTGCAGTGGTGTTGTTGACGTTGTTAGTCGTGACCTCCCCAGTTTGCTAG